TTTTTTTTTTTTTTTTTTATTATTTTTTTTTATGTTGCTTGATTGATTGTTGTGTAATTTTGTAAAATTTGATCAGTCCGTTTTTGCGGCCTGAAATGATGCTGAGCGCCTGTTGTTTCGGTTCACGGTCTACTGCAGGACCTCGGTTGCTCTGATTTGTTCGGGTACGCGTCAAGATGGATTTGGTTTCTAGTTGCAAGGTATTTCACATTTTCTTATTTTTTATTGATTATGTGATTCGACTCGTCGAGGTTTTGTTGGTTTCTTAGGTTTTAATTTAGCTTTTAATTGTGGAAAAATCTGTTTGCAGCAATAAGTTCACGTCATTGGTGGTATCCCAGTGCCACGAGTCAGATAAATTAGTTCATGCCACTTGCATTGGTTAAAGGACGTTAACAGTTAAGACCTACTAGAGTTAACGTCTGGTTGTACTGCTTGGTTTTATTTATTTATTTATTTTTTAAGATTTCTGTGTACTCAATACTCAGTGAATGACCGAACAAAGGTTTCTGTGGTGTCCTTCATAACTCAACAAAATTTTATTTTTGTTTTTTAATAAACATGAGACATTTAACTTAGATGGTTTGTAAGTGAGCTTAGAGTTAACAATTAGTTGTACTGTTTGCTTTTTAGATTTCCATGTACTTAGTGAATGTTGGGACAACTGTTAGTGTGGTGTCCTTTTGGATAACTCATTAACACTTTATCTTTATTTTGTTTAATAAACACAGAACACTTTCCTCAAATAGTTTGACGAGTGAGCTAATTTGATTCCAAAGGAATGAACTTGACTAAATTTTTGAAGTGAAATTCATGGGGAAATGCCAGTTTACAAATTGAAACCGCTTAACATGCAATGAACCATTTGAAAGAACATATATGCGGTTCTCATCATCTTCAAGCAACATTGAAGAGTCTTTCGAGGCCCAATTAGTTTTCTTCAGAGCTAGCATTATTACCTGATTAGAGTTGTAAAACAACTACCCTCAGTTGAAGATATGTGGGTCAGAAATGAAGTCATTTTAAAGAACCAAGGAGTAGCTCCGATTTTTGATAAAATGAAAGAAAGTAGATTAAGATGGTTTTGTCACGTGCATAGATGATCACCAACAACACCTGTAAGAAGAAGTGATTTTTTGCAAGTTGAAGGGGCTACAAGGGATAGGGGTAGACCAAAAAGGACATGGGCTGGAGTAGTTTATAGAAATTATTCAAGTGCCAATAATTTAACAATGGATATGACATTAAACAGATTGGAATGGCGAAGCAGAATTCATGCTACTGACCCTATATAGTTGGGATAAGGCTTGGATGATGATGATGATGATTACTGCTAGTGGACTTCCTTTTGGAAACATGGGCATTGCTTTAGTTGAAATGCAAATTTTAACACTTAAGATTTCTTTATCCTCATCAAGGTTCAAAAAATCAATACGATATGCCCCGTATTGGGTGTATCGTATCGTATCTTTTGGGTCCCGATACGCCTGTTTAGGTGTTTCGTACCCCACTATTTTTCTAATGAAAAATATGGGTATTAAACTACCCAAAAACCAAATTTTGAAAAAAAAAATAAAAAAAACATATTTCTGCATGGTTCAAAGTACCGATATGCCTCTGCCAATATGCAGAGGTGTATCATCGATACTTTGAACCATGATCCTCATTAAGATTTGAAGTACAAGAAATAGGATCAAGCATCTTATCATACCTTCATGCCAAACAAAATATTGCTAATCAAATGGAAATGAGAAAAGAAAGTTTGTTAAGCACACCTAACAAGCCCATTTTTTGAGGCAATGTGGTGTTTTCTTTCTAAAGTTCTTTTTGCTTATCTCATTGGTTGGCCTTACTTGGTCAACCAATGAGATAATTGCACGGTTGCTTTTACCTGTTGTCCCACTACACCAATATTGTTAATATCCATTTTTGTATATTACCACTACCTTGCACTTGTGTTTCAGGACAAGTTGGCATATTTCCGGATAAAAGAGCTTAAAGATGTTCTCAGTCAGCTAGGTCTTGCAAAGCAAGGGAAGAAGCAGGTATGCTGCTAGAGTTGCTTTTATTTCTGGTTCTCCAATATTTTTTTGGAATTTATTTGAAAAATCTACGAGTAGCCTTTTACCCTCACATGATGCATTTTCTGATAACTTTGTTCATCTGCTTGAATGTGGAAGAACAAATTTATAGCAGTGGAACAGTTTCCTATGGGTTATGGTGAAATTAAAAATGTCTAACAAGGTTAAATTTTTCCCCAAAAGAAAGAAAAGGAGGCTGACAACAATAAAAACTTCTCTTATTGCAGCCTTCCTAATCTTCCCACCCATTTACCTCAGCATCATCATTTCAGCTCCTTATTATATAATTCCTGGCAAATTAATTTTATGATTTACATTATTGAAACATAATATGGTGAAGTCCTCTATATGATTTGGGACATGACTATGCTTTTCTAAACTCTGGTTTTAGGAAATTATTTCTTGGAAAACTATCTTTAATTTAAATGCTTCCACCGTGTCCAATGAACATTTTTAGAGTCGTTTGTTCTTGGAAATTAAGCCTTTTTTATTAGTACCTGAAATTCTATTGATTGATATAAAGAACAATATAATTGTTTACATACAAAGATGCCAAGCACTGGAAGTTCAACTTTTTATGTCTATTGAATTGTGAATTCTTTGGTCCAGCATCCAAAGCATGAGACCTTTATCAAATTCAGCTGTGTTCTTTCCTCATGGAGTTCTTTTGGATTGAAAATACTTATTCTATGTTAATATTGTGCAGGATCTTGTGGACAGAATTTTGGCTGTGCTGTCTGATGACCAAGGTAACAACTTGGATTCACTATTAACCTTTCAACTTTTGTGGATGGAATATGGTTGCCTTACTATTTGTCACGAATAATGCTAATTTATGGTTTATGGTGCTGCTTTGTTACCTAACAAATTAACCAAAATTATTTATTGCACACTATATAGTCTATAATCATGGAGCCGACCACATATAGTTGGGAGAAGTCTTAGATGATGATGATGATGACACTGTTATACCTGGGTACCTCTACATGCCTAGCTTACTTGTGTCAGATGCAATATATAACTGATATGTGGCTGGACACTGCAGGGATAGTTTAAACTATATTTTACAGTATTAATACTTAAAATTTGTAGAGTGATATTACTTTCCTAGCATACTTTATGTCATGTGCAAGCTGGAGAGTTAGTTGTTTATCATTACTTCATTGTTTGTGTGTTTTGGACCATCTTTTGAATTTGTTTCTCACCGTAGGGATGTTTGTAGAGCATGTGCTTGATTTCTTGTGATGCAGGATAAGAGGCTCTGCTTGTCAAAAGTGGATCATGTGAAGGTATTAAAGTTAGAGATTTGAATCAATTTTCAATTGATCGATTTCTACCTTATACCAACTTTAGGGGGCATCAATTTCTTGATTCCCCAATTTAGAATTTGACCTTCTTTTAGAACTTTGGTGGAATATGTATCTTCCCTAGCCATTTAATTGGGGGTTAACAAAATAAAATTCCTGAGTGATGCTTCTTGTGTGTGTGATGACTAGGTAGTGACAGGTGTCAATTTAGAAGAAGAGGAGTTAAGGTCTATGGAGAAGACTTTGGGGTGTGAGTGGGGGGTGGCCTTTAAGGTATCTAGGTTTACCCCTTGGTTATAACCCTAGCTTGGTTGGCTTTTGGAGTCCAGTGGTAGAAAGAATTGAGAAGAGACTGGCCGGGTGGAAAAGGAACTACATTTCGTTAGGTGGGGGATTAATGTTGATTAAATCCACTCTGGCTAACCTCCTAGTCTATTTTATGTTAGTCCTCAGGATGCCTCACGCAATAATGAAAACAATAAAAAGAAGGAAGAAGGGGTTTTGGGAATTGGCAATGTGAGTATGAAAAATCTGATCCTTTTGAGTAAGTGCCTATGGTGCTTTCCTGTGGAAAATGAGAGATTGTCAGAGTTGTGGCTAGTATTCATGGGCTGCCAAGAAATGGCTAGGATGCTGGTTGTCTGCAAAGAGCTACTCTAGATGCACCTTGGAAAACTATTCATGGCATCCTTCCCTCTTTCCTTAATCATGTGAGGTATGATTTGGCTTCTGGTAGTAAGATAAGGTTCTGGGAAGATGTGTGGGTAGGTGAGTCCCTTTTGAAAGATGTCTTTCCCTCCCTCTTTGTTCTTTGCAATCTCAAAGGTAGACCTGTGACTTATTTTTTACAACCTGAATCTTCTTCTTCTGGTTTGAATTGGAATTTGGCCTTCGCTGGGAATCTTAGAGAATCGGAAATCCATTGGGTGTCTAATTTGATGAGTGTCTTGGAGTCTGTAGTCTTTGTTGTTGAGGGGAGAGATACTCGTTTGTGGTCTCTTAACCATGATGGGAAGTTTTCTTGTAAATCCTTCTTTAACTCCATTGTATCCACTCCCCCCCCCCTCCTTCCCTATAAAAGAAATATGGTGTTGTTTCCCTGTTCCTCCAAAGGTCAATGCCTTTTGCTGGGAATTGTTCCATAGGTGCATTAATACTTGGCTACAAAG